TTGATTTCAGAGAGAAGAAAGGAGAGGGGGAGAGAGATAGAAACATCAATGATGAGAGAGTCATTGATCAGCTGCCTCCTGCACGCCCCCGACTGGGGATCGAGCCTGCAACCCGGGCATGTGCCCTGACCGGGAATCGAACCCCGATTGCCTGGATTACCTAGGTCAATGCTCAACCGCTGAGCCACGCCCGGCCGGGCTGTGGCCTCTTTTAACTAGAGCTATCACCTTTGTGGCAATTTCCAGACCACAGTCAGGGTGGGCCAAGCAAACTGCATTTCTAATCCTGACCAGATATCCAAGGGCAGAATTGGTGGGGAGTGGGACTGAAGAAAGGGAGGCGGAAGCCAGAAATCAAAGACTTCACATCCAAAGTTCTTTCTCCTAACGCATTCTTAGATGTCCTTGGAGGGATGGGGTGGGTGGGAACTAAGCTGTGAAGACCACTTAAGAATAAGGGGGGGCAGGGCCCTATCATCGCCAGTGTCTCTATCACTTGAGCCCATGGACACCCTAGGGGTGGGCTGCTGGGCGCCACCACCAGTGTTGGGCCCTTGGCCTTGGGTGTGTGTTGGTCACTGAGTGGGAGGGGAATGGGGAAAGGTCTTTACCCCTCCTCTTTTCTCTGAAGTCTGGACTGGGTCGGGACAAAGGGGCAGGAAGTCATCCTTCCCTATCTCCATCCCCCACCCTCCAACTCTTCCTGTTTAAAGCTACTAGGTCTTGTTCTCAAAGAGGTGGGCTCAGCTACACTAATGGCCCTTGCTGCTCACTTCTTTTCTCTTACTGGAGCCAGGCCCCGATTTCTAATTCTCATTTTCATTCCCTTTCTCTCTTTCCATGATGCGTCTCTAAGCCCCCAAGAGCCCATGTTTTGTGGGAACAGAGTTCTGTTTCTCAAGAGGGGGCATATTGAAAAGCTAGCATCTAGTGCTTTGCAGGTAGAAACACTGTCCAGGGTGACCCCACACATCTTAAACATTCCTATTTGATAAACCTGGAGACACTTTACTGGAGTGTTTCGTATCAAGATTGGCTAGCAGAGTGTCTGTGTCTGAGTGTTGGCATAGGTGTTCTTAACCTAAGGAGAAACTGGAGGCCTTAGAAAGCAGGCACATTTACAGTCTTATTCTGATTTGCAAACTTCAAAAACAGTAACT